CCCAGTCCAAAGCAGTCCAGTGGCACCTTTAAGACCAAGTTTTATTTAGGTAGAAGCTCTCCCTCCTCTGCGAGGACAGATCTGCACGTTCCCACCTCCCCAATAGCTAGCAATCCAAAACAGTCCAGTGGAGCCTGAGCGGTGGGTGTTGCCTTCTGACACACTTCCGGTGATGTCAGGGGGTGTGGCATATGCAAATAGGTTATGCTAATGAGTTGTGCTAATGAGCTCCTGCACCTCTTTTTCTACGAAATGACCCCTGGAAATACCCATGTGTTCCTTCTAGGGTTGCCAGCTCCATCTTGGGAGATTCCTGGAGATTTTGAGGACAGAGTCTAGGGAGGGCAGGGTATGGGGAGGGGGGGACTTCAGCAGGGTACAATGCCCTAGAGCCCACCTTCCAAAGCACCCATTTTCTCCAGGGGAACTGACCTCTGTCACCTGGAGATCAGTTGAAATACTAGGAGATCTCCAGCCCCCACCTGGTAGTTGGCAAGCCTAGTTCCTCCTGCAGCCCAGCCACTTTCAAATGCCACAACGGGGAACATCAAAAGCACATCTACAGGGTTTATTTAGATTATTTGTTTGCCACTTCTGCATAGAATATACCCAAAGTGGTTTGCAGCAGAGCGTACGAGACCGACTTGGAAATTGCTAGAAGAATCCTGAGATAATGGATAAAACGGCAGAGTCCCTATATGTAATGGTGGAGGACGTCTTGTTTCACTGTATCCAAAGACAGAAGCTTATACCTTGAATAACATTTTGTTGGTCTTAAAGGCCCCGCCGGACTCAAATTTAGTTCTACCAAAACCACAGGAAGCAATACCAGCAGGGCACTTAAAAACACAGGAAAAGAGTTTCAACAATAAAATCACCACATGAAATGCGATCCTGAACACAGCGACACCATAAATCCACTGAAGTGGGCAAGCTTTGAAGGATGTAAAGCTGCTTCGGACTGATCTGCCAGATAGCAGCACCAAGCTACACACACGCTCCCATGCGGAAGTGCAACCCTGCCTAGAAAGAGGTCGGATCCTTAATCCCTATTTAGTCCGACCACTGATCAATACCCCTCCAATCCTGCCTGGCTTGAGCTTCTGTCAAGGCCGAGAAGCTGTTGGTCAACGATCAGTCCATTCCCGGAGGAGCAGCGGTGCCACTTAGCACTTTACAAGCTGGAGTCATATCAAGCAAGGATCTCTCACTTGTTGGAAGGGAGTGAAACAGCTTTGCTGCCGGGATGTTTGGCTCACGCTTCTAAGCTGAGCAGATCAACAGTGCAATCCTAAACTGAGTTACACCGTTCTAAATCCACTGGTCTCAATGGGTTTAGAAGAGTGTAACTCTATTTAGGACTGCACTGTTAAAAATGAAACCCTAGAGAATCTGATGGGCATCTTTCTTCTGTGTTTACGGCCCTTTGCCAATATATTGGACACACATTCATAAGAGTGAAATACTGATTGCACCTTTTCTAGCAACTAACTTTCCTGTTTGCCATGTAAATCCCCCCACTGTGCTTAAATAATAAATCAGATTATCTGCAAGCCGTGTCGCGATTGGGAGTAGACAACACATCCTTTTTCTGAGCTACTGCCCAGGTCTGAGTCCATTCAACCACAGACCCAAGGTCCCTTGCCCTTGGATTTGGAGGTGCATTTGTGAAGGGTCATTTTCTTGCACCCCCAGAACTCCAAGTAACAGAAAGATAAGAATGGAATAACAGCAGCAGTTGGAGAATGACTGGTCACTCTGTCCCGAGAACCCAGGGAACCAATTGATTTACTGGTTCCATGATGTCATATGGGGTGGTCACTGTAATGGAAAATCTCACTGCTTATGCAATGTCAACCTTTTACAGTTCTGCAGGGCCTGCAAGACGGAGCTCTTCCACCAGGCGTTTGGTTAAGGAGCTGCACCATACACCGAGGAGTGTCCCTGTGCCCTGGTCTTGCCATCATTGCTTCCAGCCTGTGCCCTGGGACCTCTCATCGTTATCTTCAGCCTGTGCCCGCTGCACAATAAATGAGAGCTGAGCTGGTGTGAAAGTATTGCCATCCAACAGTTACCTAAGTTATACAGCTCTTATGGCCTGATATGTTCCAGCCTTTTTATGTGTCTATGTTTTACATGACTGTTATTTTAGGTTATTTATATGCTTATGGTATGCTTTCATTGTATTCTAGTTGTATTTTATGAATTGTTGTAAGCCGCCCTGAGCCCGCCTTGGTGGGGAGGGCGGAATATAAATTAAACAAATAAGCAAACTATCTTTGCTCTTCAGAATGGGGTTGCCATCCCCCAGGTGCCCCCTGGAGATCTCTCACTATCACAACTGATCTCCAGATGATCAAGGTCAGTTTCCCTGGAGAAAAATGGCTGCTTTGGAGGGTGGACTCTGTGGCATTGTACCCTGCTGAGGCTCCTGTCCTCCCCAAAACCCACCCCAGCTGCATCCCCCAAAATCTCCAGGAATTTCCCAACCCAGAGCTGGCAATCCTGCTTTGGAAGCCT